TGTATACGGGTACTATATATGGTTGTTAAGGTAGGAGGACCTGTTGAGCTGTACAAACAGAAGATCTTAATGAGTGTCAGTAACTTACATGCACAGGTGAAGATTGTAAAATATAAAATAAATGTACCTTCTGAAGACAATTATTAATCGACAAATTAGAGGGGAACTTGTTGGAAGCAAAGGGTTTTGAAGCAACTTTAACTCTCTACAAGTTAAGAAAAATCTATTTACAGTATGTATTTTTGAGAGCTAGTTAGTTAATTGGCAAATTCAATGATAATGTCAGAATATCAATGAAAAATATAAAAATATTGATCCCAGTTCTACTCTTTTACATTGATGGTAGTGGTAGGTTAGCAGAGGTTGTGTCTAGACAGAGTGCTTCTTAAAGGGCACAAACAGCTAAAAGAGCTCTTTAGGGGAAATGTCATTATTTTTAATATGAGGCTATAGATATAAAACACTAACTCTGCAGCAAGTCTGAGGAAGGCTTGTCTGATCTTTTAGTGTGTTTCCATTTCAAAGATAGTTTCACTTTCAACCTCAACACACCAGTGTGATGTACTGCATCCAATGAGACTAACTGTGTTTCACCTCCTGCTTACTGTAGGCGCATGATTTGTTTAAACCTTCATTTTACCAGGAAAAAACCCCTAATGAGATTAAAAACTTTTTTCCAAGGGGGACCTGGCCAAGATAATGGATCTTACTTAAAATAGTCACATAAAACATTTAAAAGATACACAGGCACCTTGATCAAGAAGCAGACACCAGTGACTGAACCACGGTCTTAGATTTATGTAGTGAAACCAACTTGTCCAATTTAAAGTCTTTCCAGAAGCTGTTCTAAGTGTTCAGAGCAGAAAAAGAGAAGATCTTCTTTCCCAGTTCTCTTGCATTGCTGAGTTGATATGTTTCCTATGATCTCAAATTATAGTTTGACAAAGGGTTTTGAATGATCATTTTGCAACGATACAGAGATAACTTGTCTAAGATGGCTTTATAAATAAATACATACCAATGACTTAACCAACGCATGGCAAGAGAAGGCCGTCCCACTTTGGAATGCAAGGCACAATGATGGATCTGTGGTTTTGAGTTGTGATGAACCTTAGAGCACAATGAAAAACAGTATCCAGTTTATGAAGACGGTTTGGTGAAGTATCACCATAGTCAAGAACCAGGAACAAGGTGGCAGCTACCAGCTTTTTCTGACTTCCATAGAAAAACAAGTCTGTATGAGTATCAGTCTATCTCTGTGTGGACAGTTAGAGTGCATCTCTACCACACTGTAGGCTATTTGGACCTTTGCTGGCCTGCCAGAACCTATCCATTGCCACCATAAACCTTCCTTTCCATGTATTAAATTGATGGTGACAAGTGAGGTTGCCTCTACGATGCACCTAATACTTTTGGTCTTTCAACAGAAGAAAGAGAAGGCATCTGTCGTCAAGAAAAATAATGCCTACGCTGTAGCAGTAGCCAACTACGCGCCTAATATCGCCAAGGACTCCAGCACACTTCCAACCATCGCCAAAGGCGGAGCTGCGGACCCCAACAAGGCCAAAGCAGACAGCAAAGCCCAAGAAAGCAAGAAGACATTCAACAGCGTTAGCAAAATTGACAGGATGTCAAGGATTTTGTTTCCTGTTCTCTTTGGCACCTTCAACCTTGTCTACTGGGCCACCTACTTAAACAGAGAACCTGTAATAAAGGACATGGTCCCGTCTTACTAGAGACCACTTTTAATGGGTTCTGATCTGGGGTCTGAGAAATGAACCAAATACCTCCAGCAACTGTGTACACATACTTTTGCAGAGTGAAGTCTTGGATTGCAGTGTGTGATCCTGTCGCCACCTGTTTTCTACTTCTCCTGCAGCATTTTTGAGAAGCCTGGCTTTTGTAAATGTGTATGTATATTTATATTCATGGTTTCATGGTGGCATATTGTGTGATTACTTTGATTAAAGTGCATATTTCCTTACAAGTATGTTTCCTCTTACAATATGTGGCCACTGTACATATAAATCAATTGAAGATTACTTCTAAATGTGTTGAATTTTGCTGTTAGTGCCCACTCTCTTGGTATTACAGTATATTTTTATTTTGAGTGAAAGCGACTGATTATTTCATATATCTCTCTGTGCCCCGAGTGGCCTGACTTTTTTTTTTCTGTCTAAGCCGATGCAAAAACACACTTGTATAATACTGTTACAGTGTAAAAGTTGTTTTATTAACTGTGACTACAGATACGGGGCTGGGATCATTGCTGACCTCCAGAATTATTGAAGCTCTCTGAGCCAAAAACACTATAAAATAAGTGGCAGAGAAAACTACAAAATTAACATCTGTGTGTATATGATACCATGTAGTATAAAACTCAAACAGTTTAGTTCAATGATAAATGCTGGATATATTTAAATGAAGTCACTACTGTTTTAATTCATGACATATGGAAAAATCTCATATTCATTCAGAAGGTGCCGTTAGTGAATTACACAAAGCTTTGAATGGTTTGTTTATGCTGTCACATTTTGTAGGTGGTGGAAAAACTACTTATAATAGTGCATGATGTAACAGGAAAAGGCAGAAGAAGAGTACAACAAGCTGACAAACTTGCCATGGATGTTCCCACAATACATGAATGGGTATTGCCTTATAAAGTTTATGGCTAACATTTACAAACAAATGGCCTATTTATCCAACCATGGGTAAAGTTATCATCCCAGTGAAGTTACACAGATGTACGTCTGGTGTTAACTCTCCTTTTAGCTCTGTTTTGATTTCCAAAAATTCAAAAAATGCTAATGTTGTCTAGTTGCTATTTTGTGCTTTACAAGAAGGTTTCAGTCAGTTTTCCAGAGCCTTTTCACTAAAAACAGCCAGCGGCTTCTGCTTGAAATGAAGTTGACAAAAGAGCTGAAGTATATGTACGATGGATTAAAATCAAAACAGTTAATACAAGTGGCTTAAAAGCCACATAAAGCTGCAGAGTTGGGGGAAGATTTTCTATAGGCATCATGGGTGACCACTTTCAGGTTAACCTACGTACATTCATAGGTGATATCAACAGTACAGTTGAAGGACAGCCCTATTGCTTAAGGTACAAAGACAAGCACATTGCATAATGATTCATTTTTTAAAACGATTGTGCACAATTTTATTTTATTTTATTTTATTATTAATTTTTTTTAGCAAGGTTAAAGTCCACATAATGCCACACACTAAATAATACTATATGATTTGAAGGCATCCATGTGAAAACTTGTTTATATTGTCTATGTACTGACTTATCAACATGACAATAATTCTGGAGGTTGGTGTGGATTTGTTGAGTAAAGCACTGTGGCAGTACTAATCAACTTTTTTGCTCATCATCCGTGGCAAGTGTCTGGCTATTCCCAACACATTTCTGTTTTGATATAATTACAGATATGAAAGCGATACAGTAGGACTGCAAACACAGGATTGTTTTGTGTCTGTATGAACTTCACGAATGAGTCATGTTTGGAAATTCTTTTTTGTTCATATTCCTCTGCCAGCAAATTGGTTCTGTAACAGACCTAAAGTGATATGACAGCCTGGATTTGTGCGTAAATTAGCATTTTTTATCTTGAAAACATCATTGCTGTATACACTAAAACTGACTTAAAAGCCATATACAGTCATCTTGTAACCTAGTTTCATCTACAGCGAAGCAACAGGGACAACCACTGACTGAGCATGTATGGTGAAAAACAGTGTAATAGTGTATCCACCTGTTTTGTGCAAGATATGTTTGTTTTACCACTATCGCTGCCATGATTACTATATATTGATAACATATCCATGCCCCATATCAGTGTTCATATATAGAGCTCTGTAGGTTTTTTCCCATAAAGTGATTTTTGCTTCACAACAATATTTCATCTTAATTTAACTTGATTTCATTGTTGAATCAAACTTTGCATGAACATGAAATGATGATTTATTTGATTTATTTCTATTAGTTTTTATCAAAAATCCTCTTAAACATTCCCAACGAAATGATTGTTCGCGAGGTGGATGCTTGGTTCAGTGCAGACTTTCTAATAAAACACGTATTAGTTCAATCTAGTTTATGTCATGTCTTTGCCCAGCTGATCGAAGGTGCTGTTGACAGTGGACATTCGTCATTTTATGAGCAATCACCAAATCACAGATAGTGATATTTGAGAGTTTGAAAAACCATATAATCGTATATTAGCTTATATATACAGTTTATAATGTTCTCTTAGATAAGCACAAGTTTGAAAAAGGATGCCTTACATTTACTTTTTATAGAATTGTGACCAAAACCTTACAAGTGAAATTCCAGAGAGACAGTCGTCTAATGTCATTTCTGTACAGCAGTTTCTTGTTACTTATACTCGTATCGTATACTGTATACCAATATCAGAACATCTGTTATTGACTAAAATCAGATGATAATATCAGTCATGCTTGCGTTTTGGAGTATCACCAAGAACATGACTATATTTAAGTTCATGCAACAGTGTTTGAAAAGTCCCAGCTACTCTTTTAAAAATACAAATAACCAGATATGTTTTATAATATTATAGTTTTTTCTTCTTTTAATATGTTTCTTGGTGGGTTTGAGAATTGTTGTTTCTTTAGATAGAAGTGCTGTAAGGTTTTTGTGACACCTTAGCCACCATAAATACAAAACTTACATAAGACTCTCTTTTAAAACTTTACTATAACTATCAAATAATAGCCTTTTATAAGAAAAATCTTACATCTAAATTAATAATGTGTAGAGGTTTTAGAAACTATTGTTTGTTCTGTTAGTTTCAGTGAAACAATGCACTGTATTTTGCCTTATGTTGTCTTACATGCTACTGGAATTTTTGGTCTGTTAATGTATTTGGACAGGACAATAACATACAGCTTCCACAATGTTGTGATTGGCAAAAATCAACTAGATCTGACCTTAAGTTGAGAAATTAGGTGATGAGTACAGTTTGTATGGAATCTGTTTGTAAGCTTTTTGCTGGCCTGCTGACATTCCAGGCTCATGAAGAAATTGCCAAAAAACAAAATATGATAAACTGCAAATATTTCAGATGTATTTCTTAAATGGAGGTTCTTTTTGCCATTTCAATTTGACAGTAAGGTAACTAAACTAAAAACTGGCTTAACCTTTGTTTAGATTAAGATCAACCAGTCACATTATTGCGTTCACAATAGCTTTGCCTGCACGTTTAAAGAAATACAGTTCACAATTTACAACAGCCAGCCAGAGCACAGGGCCGTGAATGAAGCAGCTCAGTCCATCAGCAGGAGAGGATGCTGTCAACCCAACCTGTTATGCAGAGCTCTTTCCACCACTCCAGCACTGCACCCTGGTGTGAGGTCCCCTCTTCTCTGAGCTCTGACACCTCAATCCATACGTGACCCCCATTTATCTGCCTGACAGAAATCAATCCTGACAGACGTGAGTTATCCACGGAGAGACTTACATACATGTCTAGAAATCTTTATAATTGAGCATCATTTAAAATTTATTTAAACTGTCACACTAGAGCACTTAAGAATGAGTCATCCACTGCATTTCCTACAGATTTCTAGACAGTTCAGTTCAACTGTTGGAACAAAGTAAAACCCAGTCTATAATGCATCAAGTGAATGGTTTGAATTGGACAGTGACTTCAAGCTCTTACACCTTAAATGAGATTTATTTTTTTTGGCTGCAGTAAGAAGAGAATGACCAGACAGTGATTGCAGATCACTTTTTACTAAGGTCACAGGCCCTAATTAGCTTGTTAGGACTATGGCTTGTACACAAGCATCATTAGGAAAGGTCAGGTGATGCAAATTTCAAAGCTTTATAAATACTCCTCAGAGCTTGTCCCAACAATCAGCAGCCATGGGCTTCTCTAAGTAACTGCCTATCAGTCTGAAAGGTAATAGTACTAATGCCCACAAACCAGGGGACAAACATTTGCAGTATCTGTTTCCTCAGTTTGTGATGCAATTAGTTAACAGGAAGGGTGGGGATCTGGAAGGCCAAGAAAACTTTCTGAGAGAACTGCTTGTAGGATTGCTAGAAAGGTTAATCAAAACCAAGGTTTGACTGCAAAAGATCTTCATGAAGGTTTAGCAGATTCTGGGATGGTGGTGAACTGTTCTGATATGCATAGACACCAGCACAAATATGGCCTTCATGGAAGAGTCATTAGAAAAAAAACTTTTACTGCATTCTCACCACAAAATTCAGCACCAGAGGTTTGGAAGGAACATATAAACAGATGTATTTTGGAAATAAGTCATGGACTGGTCAAGTTAAAATAGATTGTTTTGACCGGAGTGAGCAAAAGAACACCTCTCCAGCTGTTAAGCACAGGGGTGGCTCCATCATGTTTCTGACTTGTGTTGCAGCCAGTGGCAACATCACCCTGTCTGTTAAAAAGCGGAAGATGAACAGAGGATGGCTTCTACAACATGACAATGATCCATAACAGTCCTCAAAATCCATCATGGATGACATCAAGAGGCTCAAGCTGAAGGTTTTGTCATGGACCTCACAGTCCCCTGACCTAAACATCATCAAAAGTCTGTGGATAGATCTCACAGAGCAGTGTATGCAAGGCAGCCCTTGAATCTCACAGAAGTAGAAGCCTTTTACAAGGAAGAATGGGTGAAAATAATTTAAAACAAGAAGAATAAAGACGATTAGGCCTACATGACAGGCAGAAACTTGTTCTAACAGAGGGTTATTATTGCTGGTTGCACAAGAAGAGAAGCAAGGGTCTATTCTTGTGCAAGAGGCAGCTTCATTGTCATAGCAACTGAAATCCATTTTTATCCTTCATCAAGCAGGTTGAGTAGGCAGCACTTCCGGATGTTCAATCGTTTCCAAAGATAAAATTGTGAATAAATAAATCCTAACATTTGTTTGTTTGTTTTAAGAATGTTATTTCAAATGTTAGTTTCTATATTTATACCATTGTTCCAAATGACTATTTGGGTGACTTAATTCTCTACGACAGTAGACATGAGGCTCCTGCGCTGCAATGTCAAGCCATATTATGTTAAAAAATCCCTAATGTTGCTACAAATGGCTACAGTAATGCAGTTGTAGTTTAACTTAACGATTAATTGAGGATGGATTATAAATTGAAACACCTACAGTTGATTCGGTTGTTCTACCAAAAAGGAAGTTGTTGTAGGATATCATCTCGCTTCTTTCCATCATCTTTGGTTCGAAAAAAAAATAAACAACATTTCCCACAAATCTTTGCTTGTGAATCGTCACTCAAATATGGCAGCGCCCTAGGAGCTCATGTACCTGGGTTTTGTTACAGGACTATTTACTTTTAAGATAGGTTTTTATTTTTATTCTTGTGACAGCCTACTCCTGGTCTGCCAGTGTAGTAGTGGCCTACACTTTATTTACAACAGCTCTGAACTATTCCACAGGTAGCTAACGCTAGCTAACGTTAACTTATCCTTCCTAGAATGCCTGTAGGTTACTAGCTGAGCGAAGACATGTCGCTTTTTCTTGTCAAACGGTGGTGTGCAACGCCTCTGTTAAGACGTGTATTACAGTTTAAATTGTATAGAAGGAAAATACAAAACTATAACACGACCTACACGCTGTTAAGACACCCCTGGCTGAAAAGACTGCCTGCTTTCTCCAGCAGCTTCAGGCTGGCCAGCACGCAGACAGACAAGGTAACAAAACATTTTAAAATGGTCCAGTCAGCTGTGGTAACTGCTCTGCTGGGTTACATTGATGTCACTGTGTGAGTTTTGCTTCTTATTCAAAATTCTGTAAAGGTTCATACAGTTTTCACAATAATTGTGTCAGGGACAAATAGTCCTTTAACACATGAAAAGGCTGAGAAGTGCTGCTCAAGCACATAAAGTCAGTTACTCTATTGCAGTGTTGACCACAATTTTGGTTCTTTATATTCCCATTCAGAATTGGACAAAATAACTGAAGTGTCCAGGTTGTTGAATGAATGTCAGTAATGTACAGACTCATTTTTTATTTTGCTTTGAAGGAAACCATTGACTTGTCCAAGTTCCCTGTGGACAGAATCAGGAATTTTTGCATCATTGCTCATATTGACCATGGAAAAAGCACTTTAGCTGACAGGCTGTTGGAGATAACAGGTACTGTATGTCTGCTTATCAAGGTGCATCTCTGCTTCAGCTTATTCTTAAATAGTCAAGAGTCACATTATTAGTTGCATCACTTTGTGATCACACAGTTAATGTCAACAACCAGATCACTGAGTTTCACAGACAGTACTGAGTAATCCATATTATACTTGCATTAAGTCAGGTGTTCATAAGATAATTATGACTAAAGTGAGGCTTCACTATGACAAACAGGTGCCATAGCAAAGACTGAGAAGAACAAACAGGTGTTGGACAAGCTTCAGGTGGAGCGAGAGAGAGGGATAACGGTAAAGGCCCAGACAGCCTCACTGTTGTACAACCACCAGGGACAGCAGTACCTCCTGAACCTCATTGACACACCGGTAAGTAGTCAGTAGTAACAAAATACTAAATACAGCTCTTTATTTAGTTCTATAAAAAGATTAATATATCCTATCTGAAATCCCATAAGAAATGATCCCACCCTTAGGACGATTTTCCCATGCCCTCCCAAAATTCATTTTAGACGAGCTCCTACATTGCCAGTAGTAATACTAATACTTGGTTCCCTTGAACTCTGAAAGGTACTTATAAATGTGGTTTCTATAATCACTGTACCAATAGAAAAGAATGTAAGCAATTTTGTGATTTCAGAACCCATAAGTTGTTTGACATAAACAACTTCATTAATTGTAATAACTACGATTGTCGTATAACATCTGTCCTGTTCCTGTGGTTGCTTCTATATAGACTGCACTGAGAGACGACTTAAAGACAGAGTTTGTGAACATAAAAATGCAGTTAGGAAAGGCAACATGGATTAGGCTATGGCTAGACATTTCCAACACGCACATAACAATAATCCCGACACTCTTCAGGTTTAAGGTTTAGAAACTATAAATTAGAACTTTCGGGGTGGTGATCATTTGAAGTTGTTGCTTCAGATAGAAACTTTATTTATACATCAATTGGTTATGTTTTTATATGGTTTTATTTCATGTTATGTTTTTTTTTTTATTGCTGTACCATCTGGAGGTCACTCTAAAATTTAGTTGTACATGTTACAATGACGGTAAAGGATTATCGTAATTGCAGGCCACATCCTGTCCAGGACTGAATGATGATGTTGATTTTAGTACTTTTTGTAAATTTCTAATAGTTTGTTTTTTGCTATTGAGAAAAGTTATATATTTTTAGTGTAGGCCAAATTGTATTTGTGAATATATGCATTTGTTTTTGGTCCATCTTTGCATAGCAATTTCTTCATGGTGGGCTTAATATGTATATGTCTTTTGGTTCCTTGTGCGGCCACCTGCTGAAGTGTATCTGGTGTTTAGCCATCTGTGGGATGATTGGTTTCCTGATGTCATCAAGTGTTTGTAAAGATCTCACATCTGCTTAAGGGAAAGCTGTGTACTGCAGGTTACACCCTGAAGAAGACACTTTTTACCCTATTCATATGGGCTGTAACCCACTTTTGAATATGTTTTGTTTTTAGTCCTCACTACGACAGCCATCTGAATAAAGCCTTTTTATTTATTTCCAGAAGAGCGCCTTGGATTTTTCTATTTTACATTTGTGCACTTTTCACTGTCAACCCTCCGTTTAGGAGATGACCTGCTCTATCTCCTAAAGCACGGCCACCCCAGTCCAAGTGTATCTGATTTTGATTTGAAGCTGCAACTCTTCATCTTGAGACTTCATAAATCCCCAAAACTCAATCTGAACACACTGATTATGTTTAATATCTACTGTTTATTCTTGTTATTGTTACCGATTTCCACTTTATAGCTTCCATTCCCAATCCAGAATGTAGAGCGCTATAAAATGTGATCATAAGTGGCCTCTGCAAAGAAAAAAATAAAGTCGTCATAGGAGCGGGGACAGGAAAATCAGAGTGCAATAAATTTTTTTTTTTTGGTTTTTTTTGTTTTTTTTTTTTTTTTTTTTTTTTTTTAATATACATGTTTTTTCACTTTTCATTTGGTTTCAAATTATAACTAAAGCATATCTCTCCACCTTTCATACTCTTTGGGTTACCCTCTCTCCAGGGTCATGTAGACTTCAGTTATGAAGTGTCTCGATCGATTTCTGCATGCCAAGGAGTCCTGTTGATTGTTGATGCCAATCAGGTACAAAACCACATTTTTAGCTCACAGTTTCCTATGTACAGTAAATTATTGTGAATGTAGTTCCTGCATGTAACAAAGTCATTATTGACTTGTTGCCATATGAAGGGGATCCAAGCGCAGACGATGGCTAACTTCTACCTGGCTTTTGAAGCTCAGCTGTCAATAATCCCAGTCATCAACAAGGTACATTCAGTCCTACCAGTGTAAGAATTAATTACATGGGTTATTTTCTGCTTGATTAGATGTGGCAGGCGATTCTAATAAGACATGTTCTTCCTCAGATTGATTTGAAAAATGCTGACCCAGAGACAGTGGAGTCACAGATTGAAAAGGCGTTTGATATTCCACGTGCAGAATGCATCAGGGTGAGCTAGAGCATTTACTCTATAAGCTGCTTTTTAGTTTGTGACTTATCTGAGAAACGTCTCTTCCTGTGTGGACTATTTTTCAGATTTCAGCTAAACTTGGAACAAACGTTGAAAATGTTCTCCAAGCAGTTGTGGACAGGATTCCACCGTAAGGCTAAGGTGGTTTCATTTCTCACATGAAATGGATTTAATGTAAATAAAAAAAAAAAATTGAGGCTGTTTCTTTTTTTTTTTTCCTTTGCCACTTGTGTTCTCAGACCACCAGTGAGCACTGACGGCCCATTTAAAGCCCTAGTTTTTGACTCCAGTTTCGACCACTACAGAGGTGTTGTGGCCAATATCGCTGTGTTTGGAGGTCGGGTCAGAAGAGGTGACAAGATTGTTTCAGCACATCTCGGCAAAGCCTACGAGGTCAACGAGCTGGGGCTTCTCCGACCAGAGGAGCACCCGACACAGAAGCTGTACGTGGTGGTCTTTGTCACCTCCTGTCATTTCTGCTAGTTGAGATTTCATCCATCAGAGCAGGCATTTAGATTTTAATTGTTGAGGTTATTGCAGCCACAATGCAAAACATATGCAGACATTTTATAGACCAATTACTATAATAACTGAGAAACTGACAGGCAGAATAATCGATAATGAAGATGTTACATATTTGGTTTTTAAACATGAGAAGAGAGTTTTTGCTGTGCTAGTCTCAGTCAGACAGATTCACATTTTTTTCAAGTCTGAAGATATAAATTTTGCTGGTTGTAATTATTCCTCCTGTCTATACTGGTCAATCTTGTGCTTATGCCCTTATAAATCCTAAATCCTTGTTCTGTGAATAATGTACTCAAAAGTGTACCTGGTGCTCATATGAGGCTTCAGCCATGGAAATTATTTTAATCAAGTGGGTATCTGTCAAAGTTACAGCCTGGTTAGTATAACAAGGCCTCTTTTTGCTGCTGTTCAGTACATACTGTATATGAATCTGGACAGACATGCATGTAAATTGCAACTTGACTGGTTGCTGGAGGAATACAAGCACAAGGCAGTGATTCTAGTTTGAGATACGATTGTGATGCTGTTATTACAGCCATTGGTGTGCATTCAGTTTTAAACACCAGAATCATTTGTCCAACTGTGCTGGTTGTTTACTCTGTGTTAGTTTCACTTTCTAAGACGGGCTGTCATGTAGGTTTGCAGGCCAAGTGGGCTACATAATCGCAGGGATGAAGGATGTCAAGGAGGCCCAGATTGGTGACACACTGTACCTCCAGGAGCAGCCAGTGGAGGCTCTGCCGGGGTTTAAACGCGCCAAAGCCATGGTCTTTGCTGGTGAGAACTCTTCTTATCTGCAGTTGCTTTTTACAGCTAGATAAAAATCTCTCTGTAAAATTAGAATGAGAATTAAAACACTTAAATGAATAGCAGTCCTGCTTTAATATTCCAGCATCAGTGGACATGCAGTCATGCATTAAACTCCTTCAGTGCATCCTGTATTTGACTAGTTAGCACAGTAAGTGAATGAAACGAGCCCTGTTTGTTGCTGATGTGCATGTTTTCTGTTTATTTCCTGCCCACAGGCATATATCCCATGGACCAGTCAGAGTACCCAGGCCTGCGTAGCGCCATAGAGAGGCTGACCCTGAATGACTCGAGTGTCACTGTGCAGAGAGACAGCAGTATGGCCCTGGGAGCAGGGTGGAGGTGGGGATGGCTGCTCTGAATTAGAATTATGAATAGTTTTAACACCATAGCTGAGGAGCAGGTCATGAGAACAAAACATTTAAGACACTGAGCAGTGCAACCATGAAAGGTTAGACCCCCTTCAGAAGATGGTTTTTGATTAGTTACAGAAAGGATATTCAGTTTTTCTTAAAAAGTGCTGAAATTAGAAGCTGTCTGGAAACCTGCACAACATATATGATTTATTGGTCATTTACAACTGTTTACATTTACAACATACTTTTGTCAAGGCAGCGTTTATTTATAATCACAAGTTATGTCCTCAGTCCAGATGATGTACATTTAGTTATAAGATAGTGAGCTCATAGCAGCGAGTCTCTTTTCAAACTGTCTCTTTGTAATTAAAAGCATGAATATAAATTATGAAGCTTGAGTGAAACTGTGAGCCTTCCTGCTCCCCTGCAGACTGGGCTTCCTGGGTCTACTCCATATGGAGGTGTTCAATCAGAGGCTGGAGCAGGAATACAATGCCTCAGTTATAGTAACAGCGCCCACCGTGCCCTACAAAGCTATCCTCTCCTCAGCCAAACTCATCAAGGTGAGAGCCATTTCCTGCTTGTATAGTTTCTGGTCTTACAGTAGTGCTTCAGCCGACTTGAAAAATAGTGATAAATGGAGACTCTGCTATTGTTGGCATGCTTTCTGGTGAAATGGCTTATGGGAAATACTTGATGGGAAGAGGCCAATCAGAATGTTCCTTTGCAAAGGCAAAACCACAGCCATCATGAATGCATAATGTGTGTACAATAGAATGACCTGCAATTATGTATAAATGTGTCTTAAAATGTGGTCAGATCTTCATCTGAGTTACAGTGATTAACATATAATTTATATAAACTATTAACACAAATCATTGTATTGTTTTTATCCATATTGAATAAATGATTCAAACATTAACTGCAGACAGGAAACATGATGTGAACCCTAGGCTACTGACATCAACAATTGTAGTCGGGAGTTAATCAGTGAAACCAGACTGGAGGTGTAGGTTAGAGCTACTTTGACTTGAGACAAACAATCTGAGTTTGCTGCTCACAAGAAGCATTTACTGATGTGAACCATGGCTCACAATAAAGAGATCTCAGAAGACTTATTATCAAGAACTGTTGATCTGCATAAAGCTGGAGAGGGTTACACTGTCACCTCACAGTTTGGATATTCATCAGGCCACAGTTAGACAAAGTGTCTATAGATGGAGAAGACTTGTGGCTGCTCTGTCTAGAAGTGGGCGTCCAGCTAAAGTGACTCCAGAAGCACTACCCAAAACGATCATTGAGGTAAAAACGAACAGCAGAGTAACAGCTAAAAATTAAAGGAATGGTTGCATGGAGCACTGTGGCCATGGCAGGAGCTGCTGCTGTCCAAAGAGACCTCACTGCTCACCTGAAGTTTGTCAAAGAGCACCTTGACTCTCCACAATTTGAATGGGAAAATGGGCTGAGGAAACAAAGGTTGAACATACAGTATATAGTATAAAAGGCCATTACCTCCCAACATGAAAACATCATCCCAACAGTGAAGATGTTTTACTCCATTTTATTTGCTTGTTGGTTGTCATTGCAGGAACATGGCAGTGAAGAGATAACCATCGTGAACCCGGCTCAGTTCCCAGACCGATCGGTTGTGTCAGAGTATTTGGAGCCCATGGTGCTGGGGACCATTCTTGCTCCAGACACTTACATTGGCAAGATTATGACTCTCTGCTTGGTAAGAGGGGAATGCAGATGAAATGAATGACAAATGCTTGCACCATATGGGCTTTTTTTTCCATTTGTCTGTGTGTCTGCCTTGTAAATATCTTACTTAAAGTGTAGACCTTTTTCTAAGTCAGAGGGGGATGCTGTCACTAAATACTCCCAGGCATGTTTGCAGAACTTAAAGCCTGTAGAAAAATGGAGCTTGACAGGAGATATTAGAGTGCATTCATGCCTGTAACTCTTTACAAATTGGTCTGTAGCCAGAGAGGGGAAAAAAAAAAATACTGTACTATGTCTGTGTGCTTTTGTTTTTCTGATGACGCTTTACCATATCACAGAAGGGTCTCCAGGCAGGCTTTCTCAAGTAATTGATTAACTAATTCACCACCGTAGGCCTTCTTGGATTGTAAATATATACAAGACCAGTGGAGGCCAAAATAACATCATACTGTTGTGTCCTTAAAGACCCGTAGAGCCGTCCAGAAGAACATGGTGTATATAGACGACCAGCGTGTTATGATCAAGTATCTCTTCCCTTTAAATGAAATCATTGTGGATTTCTATGACCTCCTCAAATCACTGTCATCTGGATATGCCAGGTAAAACTAAGCAAGTGCTGTGTATATATGTCTTTGAGATCCTAGTGGATTTAAAAATGAAGCTACACAAGATGAAAATGCAGAAAGTGGCATCCTTGCAGTATTTTCATCAATTTGAAACTTGTCAGAAATAATTGGATTCATCAGTGGTTATATGAAATTCTTAGAACAGGATATCATAAAAAGTGTAGCTCCCACTAAATCCAGTTGATGATCTTTATTCCCTTAAAACCCAAATGTTTCCCTTCTGTCCATCTTTGCTGGAACCGTTACTAGTGTCGGATAACACCCTGTCACTTTTCACTGACTCCTTGCATTTGAATGACCATCATTTTGATTTTATCTTCCATAGCTTTGATTATGAGATTGCAGGCTACCAGGCTGCTGATTTGATAAAGCTGGATATTCTGTTGAATGGACGCCCTGTGGAAGAACTCACAACAATTGTGCACACGTAAGTTCCAAATGCTGATTGATTCCAGATACTATGAGACCTCGGATGTTTGGGTTCGTTTCATTTCCACGTTAAGGGTTGTAACTCTGATGCTGCTTTGAAAAGATCTACTTATTTTTTTTTGTCACAGTAGGTTCACAGACAGCTGTGTTGTCTATTAAGGTGACTTTAAACACTGGACATTCATTCTGTTTGTGACAAGGACAATGGAGTAACTTCACAAGCCAAAAAAAGTGGCGACACACAGTAGATCTGTGTTTAATGTCCTTAAATTCCAGAGCTGGTGCAGGAGCCAGCACAGGCCTTGGTAATTGAAGGGTGCTACACTTCACTAGTGATGGCTGCTCTCTGACCGTTTACAGTGTAAGCCTTGGAGATGAGCCGAGTGTGGCTTTCAGTCACTTGTCTTCAAGGGCAATGCACCAATCACAGAGCAGAATATCTTTTACAGAAAGAAGGTTACAGAGTGACTAAAGTTTCCAGTATGTGACTGGATTGAAGTGAGACAAGAATCTCTAGTCAAGCAGATAAGTTATTTAAATCCCTTTTGAGATGAAGGATTTTATCCGAACTACCCAAGCAAGAAGAAACAGCGGAAAAAACTTGAGATCTCTGCCCAAACATGCCCACCAGGACAACAGGCGTCGGTCCACAGGGGAGGGTTCAAAGACGGTTAACAAACGCTCACCGATACTGGGCTATAACGACTCAGTCATTAGGGGACATTGTTGGGCATCAAAGGACTGAAACACCACCGATGGGGACAAATGTCTTCGACTCAGCGCCGAAAAACCTTGTCCAGTTGATTTTTCTAAGTTTTTTCAGCTTACTATGACCTGGGTGACTGAGAATCTGCACAGACAAGAAGAAACCCCATTTTGAACTTGGACAAATGATGTCCAAAGCGTTCCGTACATGCATTATAGATAATAAATAAATGAGTCATTATTATTTTGAGGTGATGTGGTGAGTGCATTTATGCGCTGCACTTGTTTGCCTTTCCATTGCTGAATTTTGGTTCTGATATGTGTGTTTTCATCACAGAGACCGTGCATACAGTACAGGAAAAGCCGTGTGCGAGCGGCTCAAAGACTCCATACCGAGGCAGTTGTTTGAGATTGCCATACAGGCTGTTATCGGAAGTAAGGTAATCGCAAGAGAAACGTAAGTACAATGTCTGCTTTATTTAAATGGTATGAGATGCAAAACGGTGTGTATATGTATATGTGTGTATACACATGTGTATATGTATATATGTATGTCTATAAAGCACTTTGAATTGTCTTTGTGTATGAAATGTGCTACATGTAATAATGCTCCTTAAAAAAAAAAGTAACATCACAAATACTTTCCTCTTTCAGAATAAAGGCATACCGAAAAAATGTCCTTGCTAAATGTGTAAGTAAAGGGTATTTTCTTAACTCTAGAAAAAAGGTGAACCTATAAATGTAGTGCACGCTCTGAATTATTATTATCTTTTTGTCTTGGTAGTATGGAGGTGACATCACACGGAAGATGAAGCTGCTGAAGAGGCAGGCAGAAGGTAAAAAGAAGATGAGGCGCATCGGCAATGTGGAAGTTCCCAAAGACGCCTTCATTAATGTTCTAAAGAGGAAAGACAAATAGTAAATAATAATAAATTATATGGAACAGGTCTTTGTTATTGAAAGGCTCTGGTAGATTTTCTCTGAATAAAGTGGACATTAGTGCTATAAACTGCTATACATCAGAAGTAATTGTGTTAATGTTCACTATATGCATTATTACTTTCTCTCCCAACTTTTCAACACCACATACATAATCCAGAGTTAATTCTGTACCAACATTACAAAAGATAACTTGAAGCTTCAGAGGTCTTTAGTAAAATTCCCTTTCTGTGCTTCCACAAACAGTATTTGCTTTCTGAGCCACAGCAGAGGGAGAGTAATACAGTTGTTGGACACTAAAAACAGTGTAACTACAAATTAAATCATTCAGTTAGCCCCATCTGAACTGTGGAACATATGTTTACACAGAGTACAGACTATAGATTTGGCCACCAGTCATGTACGGTACGTTGACATTTCAATAAAGAGTGATCTCTTATGGGGTGGACAGGAGGAAGGCTTACACAAACCAGTAGCATTTTCAATCAGCATATGGGCGTGTTTGCATTGTTCTAAGACAGATTTGTGAACTTATCTTTGAAAGAGATGGAAAATAAAGAAAAATTTGAATTTACATGCAGACATCTGCTCCAATTGTCAGAAAGCCTAAACAACAGTCATTTATAGATTTTTGCCAGTAGATGGCAGCAGCAGCAGCAGCTCAACTACATCAGACCTAAAGAGAATTAATTCCACCCTGAGCTAATTTCTAATCAGACTTTATCAACTCAGGATCCAAGGTGTTATTAAGAACACTGATTGCTCATTTCCAGTAATCCAGCATGCACAAAACTTTGAAATGCAGACATAATTAATGTTATTAATTACGCCCAAACTTTACCTGCTATGACAAGTCAAACTGACTAAATAAATAAGCCTGAATATAAAAATTATATTAATGTTTCTATAATAAATATTTTCCTTATCATTGCTACTATTGGACTAAAATTCTACTGAGCAAAGCAGTTGATTTTGTAGTTAAAGGTCTCACATTAGCAGCCTACTGCAACTTGATTTCTTGTAGCCCTGGATAAAAACAAAATAAAAAATCTCATTTTAAGTTGGATCCAGGTGGTTGTAGAAATTTTTCCAGGTTTTAACACTATAATTTTAATTTTAATTTGATTTATTCTTTCAAGCATGTAAAGACAGTCGATATGTCAACACACATAATTTCACAATATCCACAAATGCTAATGCATTTTCAATTTGTTTATACCTAGTACATGCTTGAACGGGGTAGGAAGAAGTTAGACTTATCTAGTCCTACCCCATAACATCATCTTACCAACATTGGTTTGCAAGCAGTATCTCTACATAGATAATTTTGTTCTACACCACACAAGTAATCTACTAAAAGATTATTACAGATTGTTAACATTCTTACATAATTACATTCTTAGATAATTATCTTCTACATCACACAAGTAATATTCTATACTGATCACTATACTTACCTGGCAGGGGAGAATGCAATATTTTTTGTTTTTTATTGTTTTGGGTACACATGGCACCACTGGACCAGCCACTAGACGAGAATACAAGATATCTCAACTCCATTTATTTAAATGCAGCGATTATGGTCATTTTTGTCCATAACTAGTTATGTTTCATAAACGTGATTAAGGACTCATAATACCCATGACACTAGCTAAATATTGAGGAATAAGCGTATTGGTCTCGTTTGGTCCTCTGTCCTACCCGTAGTTCCAGGCTTTCAATACGGAAGCAGATGTGAATAGCTATAGCATTAAGTGGTGTTTTAGTGTTTTTATTCCTAATTAGAACTACAACTATATAACAAAGACAGTCCATTAAATACCGAGATACGTGGCTCTGTGTGGCTTATGTTGTGTTTGACAGCGCGTCTATCAGAAATGGGCTTCCCGTTTTCATATTTGGGTGAACTCTGTGGAAAGCGTCATGTCAGTTGCTAGCTAGCAAGTTTCAGCACTACTTTACTCGTTCCTAAAGTGTCCTTCAACCGGCAAAATGAAGGTACGTTCGTCTGTTTTTGCCTCGTTTATTTTAATATTTGAAGTGATTGGCATTGCTCTTTTCCTGCGGGGATTTTTCCCTGTACCTGTCAAGTCTTCATTCTCATCCAAGAGCACACTGTCAGATCTGCCAGCGGAGCCGCTGACAGGTGAGTTCACAGCAGCATCTGGTTCACAGAGTCAGCTGCGTTTATGAGCGGCTGTCTGGCTGCACTCCCGACTGTAATCTGTTAAAACTCATCAAATATTTGCTTTAATGACAGGGGGTTCCTCAAATTCATCACGCATCCCTCAGCCCTTGTTTAAAAGGGTGGTTATAATGTTAGTGGATGCCCTGCGGGAGGACTTTGTGTTTGGACCTAATGGTCGCATGTATATGCCCTACACCAGACACCTGGTGGAAAGAGGCTCTTCACACAGCTTTGTGGCCAAGGCGAGGCCTCCAACAGTCACCATGCCCAGGATCAAGGTAAGACTGACTCAACTCAACAACATTGTTCTGTGATGAATTGTTGAAGCCGTTTATTATGCATAACACAAAACATTTACAGCTCTAGCTTCTGAAATGTGAGAAGCTGATGCTTTCTGTTTTATGTCATAATCAACTCAGATTTTGGGTTTTTCATCATGGGCTCTGGGAGAACTTAATGAAAAAAGCTTAAATTTCTTCATCAAAAATATCTTGAAGTCACAAAGGTGCAAGTGTTAAAACCAAAAATGCCCAGGTAGCACTCTTAGTCATGTGT